GCCACTACATTTAATGATTAGTAAACTGCAATAGATTCAAATTTTCGGTTTTGGGTTTAACTCCACTTTAACAGAGAAATCCCTATGCAGTGTTTCATCACATTAGCTCTCCCACATTTGTGATGGAATACAGAGGAAAAGGCAAGACTTGCACTTTGCTCTGTGAGACCCAATACAAAAAGCCTACAAAGATCTACTTCTGTACAATGAGCCTGTCAATTGTTTTGTTTGCTTAATCAGTGCTGCCAGCCGGCAACACTGATCACTGTATTCTGACAGCGAGGAACTTTCTGCTGTCAGAAAACAATAGCTCCATGGGAGAGATGGGGAAATCAAAATCACTTTTTCCCCATTCAATCCACTTATTGAAAGAATAAAAAAAAAAAAAAAAAATGCATCAATTATGGTCTGCCAGGCAGCCGGTTCACAAATTATATGCGGATTGGATGCAGTTTGAACCACATCCAATCCACATGACATGTGAAATAACATTACTTCCTATTGTGCCTGTTCACATATGTCCAGTGCACTGGCAGATAGAAATCGTACACGACCCTTTTTAGAGCAGTGTGGTCCGGTTCATGTGTGGAGTACAAGCTATCAACTTTTAAGGGAACCACTTCTAAAATCACACGTTTGAACAGGATAAAATCCTGACCTGAACCGTTGAACTGTGTCAATTAGCTGTGAAACCTGAGCTTCATTACGCACCGCACGTGTGAATCAGCTCTTGCAGGGAGAAAAAAAAAAACAGATTATTCCCTTTGTACAAAGCCCTGTGCTGATTGTCAACAGAGCGGTGGGCTGTGACTGGACAGCCAATCAGAAGACCTGCTGACTAACTCCTGCTGTGTACAATCACAGCAGGAGTCGTCGGGGTGGGGGGCACTCACATGCATGTCTTATGCCCTGAAGAAGCCAGCAATGCTAGGTCACTGTACCTGTATAGACTACCCATCCACAGTACATTGCGGGTGGATGGTTTGCAAGCAGTTAAAACCCACTTCCTAGATGCCGCATATATGTTACCCAGTCAGAAATGTGTCAGGAAAACATCCCAGCCTTTATGGGTAGCCAAACTATAGCCCTCCAGCTCTGGTGAAACTACAGATCCCATCGTGCCTCTGGAAATAACGCCTGTGAATGTCAACTTACAATGGATCATGGGGCTCATCGTTCTTCAATAGCTGGAGATCCAAAAATTGGTTATTCCCTACTTCATATCCACACAGGGAGCACCAACACCTTGATCCAATCACCATGGAAAGGCAGATGGCATGGTCCAAGATCAGGATGGCCAACTTACAAAATCCCAGCCTTCATGGCCGGAAGGCTTTTTAGGTTTTAATCCTTCAATTTGCATGGCCTAAGGTGTGAATTGTCAGAATGCCAAAGTGGAGACATTGGGGTTTTCCTTACATGTGTTTGTGCATTTTTGCAACATTTGAGCTCTGTGGAAAGTTCTCTTGCAAAGTGAACATCCTATTTGTCTTTAGTAAATCGATCTCTCCGAATCAAAGTTTAAGGCTATCAAGATTGAATTTGTGGCTGTTCAAACTACTTGGCCTCTGTGACGGAGGCATTTTTTTGCTCTTCAGCACTGCACTCTTTAACTGGCAATGGCTCAGTTATGCAACACTGTACCCAAATGAAATGTATTTTTTTTTCCCCCATACAAATATGGCTTTATTTCAGTGGTATTTGATCACTGCTACATTTGTTTATATTATAAAAAAAATTAAGACCAAACATTTTGGAATTTTTTTTTTTTTTAATAACTTTCTGCTACAACTGTGATAGTGTGGCAATTAATCTGGCGCCAACTGACCCAGTGGGAAGTACACTAATGGACATAAATAGTGACATTAATACAGTGATCAGATATAATTATTATTATACAGTATTTATATAGCGCCAAAGGGTTTGCTCAGCGCTGTACAATAGTAAGGGGGACAGAACATGAGACAAGACAGAAACAATACAATACACGAGGGGTTTGAGGGCCCTGCTCTTTCGAGCTTACAATCTAGGAGGGAGGGGAAAGTGGTACAGGAAGAAATGGCTGTGGGGAATGAAGTGGTGGGAGGAGTGGAGGAGGTCAGCTGTTAAATGAGGGTGGGGTAGTCTTCCCTGAAGAGGTGGGTCTTCAGGGTGCGCCTGAAGGTGATGAGGGTAGGTGACAGTCTGATAGATTGGGGTAGGGAATTCCAGAGGATGGGGGAAGTCCTGGAGAAATCCTGCAATCGGTCGTGGGCGGAGGAGACCAGGGAGCTAGAGAGTAGGAGGTCCTGTGAGGAGCGAAGGGCACGGGTAGGGTAGTATTTGGGTATCAGGTCGGTTATGTAGCTTGGGGGCAGCACTGTGAATGGCTTTGTAGGTCAGGGTTAGCAGTTTGAATTTGATGCGCTGGGCAATCGGGAGCCAGTGAAGGGATTGGCTGAGGGGGGTGGCGGATGTGGAGCGGTTGGTGAGGTGGATGAGTCTCGCCGCTGAGTTCAGGATCAACTGGAGTGGGGATAGCGTTCGTTTGGGTAGGTCAGTGAGAAGGGAGTTGCAATAGTCCAGGCGTGAGATGATGAGGGAGTGTACGAGTTGTTTAGTAGTGTCTGGGGTGAGGAATGTACGTATCTTGGAGATGTTGCGGAGGTGGAGCCTGCATGATCTTGATAGCAATTGGACGTGGGGTAGGAAGGAGAGGTGTGAGTCCAGGGTGGCACCCAGGACTTTGGCAGGTGGGAGTGATGGTGGCTGTGTTAGTAGTGATGGAGAGGATGGGGGGGGGGGGGTGCGGGGGAAGACCAGGAGCTCTGTTTTGGACAGGTTAAGTTTGAGGAAATGGAGCGACATCCAGTCTGATATGTCGTTCAGGAGGTGGGCGATGCGGGCGGAGATTGAGGGGGTGAGGTGGGGGAGTGGAGAGGTAAATTTGTGTCGTCGGCATAGAGGTGCTAATTGAAGCCGTGGGAGTGTATTAGTTTGCCAAGGGAGGAGGTGTAGATGGAGTAGAGGAGGGGTCCGAGGACAGAGCCTTGGGGGACTCCGACAGAGAGGGGGAGGTGGCAGTGTTATAGGTGACGCTGAAGGAGCGTTGGGAAAGGTAGGAGGAAAACCAGGAGAGAGCAGCGTCCCTTATGCCAAGGGAGTGCAGTTTAGTAAGGAGGAGAGGGTAGTCGACCGTGTCGAAGGCCGGAGAGGTCAAGGAGCAGGACAGAATAGTGGCCATTAGCTTTGGCGGTTAGTAGGTCGTTGGTGATTTTAAGTAGGGTGGTTTCGGGGGAGTGCAGGGGACGGAAGCCAGACTGTAGAGGGTCAAGGAGGTTGTTATCAGTGAGGTGGGGCGCTTAGGCGATTGTAGGCCAGGCGCTCAAGGAGCTTGGAAGTGAATGGCAGCAGGGAGATGGGTCTAAGGTTGTTAAGGTCAGTGGGGTCAAGGGAGGGTTTTTTTGAGTATGGGGGGTGATGTGCGCGTGCTTTATAGGGGAGGGGAAGTGCCAGTGAGGAGAGGGAGAGATTGAAGATGTGGGTGAGGGAGTGAATGATGGTGGGGGGTGGGGGGGGGTGGGGGGGGGGGGGGGGGGGGGGGGTGATTGAAGTAGCTGTGAGGGGATAGGGGGGGGCAGGTGGTGAGGCGGGATTAAGTGAATATAATATTGTACATTGTCGCTGTACTAATGAAAACTGGCCGGGAAGAGGTTATCAAGGGGCAATCAAAGGGTTAACTGTGTGCCTAACAAGTGCACTGTGTGTGTACTTTGAGCTGCTTTTACTAAAAGATATTACGTTTTTTTTTTTTTTTCTCCCTGCATTGCAGGGAGAGGAAACAGCCAGATTGGTTCACTGTGTACAGAGTCCTGTGTATTTGTAAACACAGGACTCTGTGCTGTAATTTGAAACGGCTGATCAGCAGATCTCAGCCATAATCATTGGCTGATACCTGCTGACAAAAATCACGCTGTGTCCAACTACAGCACAGGTTAGCAGGGGGAGCACACATGGCCGTCCCAAACTCAGAGGCAAGCTGGCAACGTTTATTTACATTACTGAGTCTGCAACCACCACCCGATCACAGTAAATCTACTGTGACCAGGAGGCAAGTGGTTAAATATAGAAACAAAAACCACAAGACAACATTCAGAGGGGAAAAGAACAGAGTGATACAGTCATCCTGCATGTAGCTGGCATTTCAGAAAAGGATCTTTAACATTGCAGCCCTGTGTCATTCAAGCCCAGCAGTACACCTAGATAGAAGCTTATATATCCAAATGACCCAACACACAAACCCGAGTAAAATCATTTGGTATATGTAGAGCAGCCTTGTGCAGGGAGGAATGCAAAGACCTGTACATGGAGGAGACTAAGCAACCTTTCAACAAAATGGCCCATCATAGGACAGCAAATACTACAGGTCTAGACTCAGTTTTCCTACACATAAAATGCCATTTTATTGTCAAATTGCCGAGGTAGAGACATTAAATTTACACCTTAAGCCAGTAAATCCCAGCAATGATGGGGTTATGCAACTAGGTCAGGGCAGTGCCATAATTTTCACACCTCCAATCCTGTTCTTGGGACAACATCCACCTTTCCATAACAATTGGCTCAAGGTATTAGTACTACCTGTGTGGATTAAGGACTGGGCAATTTTTCTTACACTCATAACTGAAGGGGCTTGGGTAATCTAAGACATTGCTTTAAACTTTGCAAACAAGTCTAGTTCTATGTGACTAGATATATAATTCAAGATACATATGCTGCCCACCTTCAGAATATGCTACTTGCCTGGCCAACGTTTAGGTCAGTTATTTGAGGCAAATAGGCAGCAACCAAAGTAAATTATATTGATTTGCTAAAACCAAATAGGAATTTTCCCTTAGCTTAGTAAATGAGGTGAAACTCTGCTGACTAAAATGCGTTTTTTTCTCCACTTGCACATGATTAGGTATTTTTTGGAAAGTGAATCTTCACATTTACTTAAAGTGTTACTAAACCCAGGACCCTGCATTCAGGATATCTGGTCTCCCACAGTACACAGAACATGGAAGTGCAATTATTTTAGTAAATATAAACTGCTAAATACCTCTCCGCAACAGCAGTTAGAAGTCACAAGACTGCTCTATCAGTGTTCAGCAGAACACTCGTTAAAGCTTGTGGAAGTTTTCATTCACCCCTAATTGTTCTATGAGGCTGCAAAACTCCTGCCCTCTGTTTGGACAGTGCTCATTGGCCTTGTGCTGATCATATGCACTCTCCCAAGAAAAAAAACCTCTAGCAATACACACCAAATTGATCATGTGCAGAGTGACTCCACATGATATAGGTCTTATCAGGAGATAACAGGGGGACACTGGAAGAAAAGGATCAGAGAAGTCAGGATCAAACAGCATTTTCACACAATGTAGAGGATTAACCCCTTAGTTGCCACAGTGAGTGTGGGCTTAGTAACACTTTAAAGGGCATTTCCCTTGCAAAGGGGAGCAGCTTATGCAGCTTTAGTAAATCAACCCAAATGTCTGAGAAAATAGAAGATGGAAAGATAGCATAATGCTCAGACAACTAGCATTTCAGGTAGAGCTGAGCAATGGCAGCATAAAGGATAAGTTCACCTTTAAATAATAAATAATGCACTTTTTTTGCAGGTAAAAAAAAAATGTGCATTTACCATTTATTTTCTTAGGGGCTCGTACAGCATTGCAGTCGCAATCAGCAGAACGTGGGTGCAATGTCATGTTCTGCAGACTGCCAGTGTAACTGCTTGTACCTTCAATACAGGTAGGCAGGCAGTTAATGGATTCATCCTGCACTGAACTATGAGGATGCTCATCAGCGGCCTTGCAGTTCTTTGAGAACTACAAGCTGTCAGCAGCAAAGGCCATACTCTTCAAATTGTGATAGCAGGTGCGGGCAGAAATTCTCCAGCCCGCTGTCTTGGGTGGGAGGGGTGGGGATCTGCTGGAATGGAAACATGTTACATGTTCCCAAAGATGAACCTATCCTTCAAAAAGGGTTTCCCTTCATACAGTTTTTTTGGGTTGGTTTACCTATGGAGACCACTTCTAAGTAGCAGGCTCCTCAAGGGGCCTTTTTGCATTTATATCCATTATTCTATTCTGTCGCCCAATAGCCTAAAATCCAATGTAAAAAGAAATTGCCACCAGAGCTTGTATAGGTGCCTATGGCAGCTGTGTCTGTCCATTGGCCATTAATATGATGGATACCATCTTAAGACCATCCCACAAGGCTTTTTGCAGAGCACCACAATAACAAAAGCACAAACCTGTGTTATTATTGCTGCAAGAAGAAACACAAATAACTTCTATAGGACTTGCCATAACAGTATGTAAAAACCAGAAATACAATGTAGAAGAAAGATTTATTTATAGGTTTTTTTTTTGGGGGGGGGGGGGGGGGGGGGGAAGTAATGTATGGTTGTTAACTCCCAGACTGATTTCAATAATAACATTTAGTACCCATTTCATCACAATATAAACAATAAAACAACTACAATGTTTGTATAAGTGGACAAATATATTTAGCTCTAATGGGCAAAAAAAAAAAAATATATACTTTCAGGAAGGTACCAAAACTTTGATTTGTAAGAAAGCACCATTTGTCCTCCTAGAAGACCTGACAATATAAATAGTTAAAAACCTGCTACATAGAAAACTACCATTTTGGAATCAAAGCCCATATTCAGCAATGTGAGTGTGTGTGTTGCTTTTTGATTCACTAAGCCAAACCAATCTGACTACATGCCTACTACAGGTCAGAAATTTCTAGTATCAAAACCAGAGTGTTACATAACTACCAATAGCTCATATTTCTCTCAGTATGTTCCCTTTATAGAGAACCAGTCTTAATCCACTTATGCAAGACTTTAAATATTCAATTATTACAGTTATGCAAGCTGAAAGTCTGACGCTCCAGAAGTCACTTCAAGTCTGACATTACTTACAGTCTCCCTGCATCTGCCCTCTTTTATTATATCTCAGTGGTTTATATTGCCCAGTTTCTGAGGTTTATAAGGACAGGCAGCTGACAAAGCACAAACTGTTACATGACAGGTGACCTCTGACTCTTAGGGCTCGTTCAAACACTGGGGTTGATTTACTAAAACTGGAGAGTGCAAAATCTGATTTAGCTGTCCATGGTAGCCAATCAGCTTCTAACTTCAGCTTGTTCAATTAAGCTTTTACAAAAAAAAAAAAAAAAAACCTGGAAGTTGATTGGTTTCTATGCAGAGCTGCACCAGATTTTGCACGCTCCAGTTTTAGTAAATCAACCCCCATGTGCGGTGGCCTGTATTTTTCTGCACTGGATAAACATGGGTCACTGCTAGGGCATGGAGAAAACCATGGTTTTGAATTTGCTCTGTTCACACTGGTTTGGTGTGCAGTGCGGTGCCATCTGTGGTGCACTCTGCCCTAAGCTAAAGGGTCTTTCAGAAAAAGCAACAACACTAAATAAGGGGGTCAATATGAATATTTCATAAGCCTGCAGAGCTACAGTTTAGGAAAGAATATTTAGATTGTTGCATAGGCCTAGTGATGCCTGAATCTTTTTGACATTTCAAAATGTACTTTTTCCTTTTCAGGTTCCTCCCCAGTGCTTTTACAGTAAAATGTGAACGGATGCCCCATAGCCACTGTTCAAAATATTCTTATCCCCTGCACAAGTGCTGTCCCAATTGAATTCAGTAGAAATTCCTATATAGTTTTTCAGCTTGTTGAAGGTTTTCAGTCATGGAAGGTGCAGGAATGATAATATTTTAAAGTGTAGCCGTAGGCTACTGCGCATAATCTGCAATGACTGATGGGGAGATGGAGTGAAAGTATATTTACAATGGAGTAGAAGGGGCTGAAAGTGAGCTTATCCTGCAAGTGGTAATTTTACAGGTTACTTTAAACACACAGCCTTTATAAAATACTCATTTAGAGCTTAGTTTTACCATATACCAGCTGTAAAACTGTCTGGAGCATCTCTATGTTGTGTGTATTTAGAAGTTACACCACCAAGAGTTATTTCTGTATCCATTTTCCAGCATGCTGTTAAATCTCTCCAACTGAACTTTCAGCTTTGAGTATAGAAACAGATCGTTTCAATGAGCAGGCCAAAAGTAGCACAGTTCAAGGGGTACAAAGCAGTGGCATCTTGTGCCCTGCAAACATTTTAGGTAAAAGGCAGATCACATACTCTAAGGCCAGCCTTAGTTAACTTACCTGTATATTAGCTTAACCAAGAAAATTAAACAACTAGAATTATTCAAGGAAGTACAGCCACGAAATAAAAATATGCATTAGATGAATGAATTCAATCTTCAGTCGGTATAGGTTATTTAAAATCTAACAAAGCACTTTTTTAAAAAAAAAAAAAAAATTGGATAGAGTGGTGAGAGGTTAGAACTACTGTCAAGTATTAAATTGCTGTCTGCATCTCAATTAGGGCGATTCACTCTCCAACTGCCCTGATCCTGAATGCTGGCAAGGGTAAATCCAAAAGGTTTGAGTTGGCACCAGAACAGGAATCGAGGAACCTTCCATTAGGGATACTTGTTCCTCTCCTGATTTTCTTCATACTGAAAAGATACAGAGTATACATAACAGGGCGTAAAGGATAAACCCTGTAATGACACAGCCCAATAAAAAAAAAAAAAAAAAAAAAAAAAAAAAAAAAAAAACTTTACAGGATGACAGCAGTTTTAACATTCCCTTACTCGATCCAAAACAGAAAAGAAAAATTTGCTTCAGATATACTTTACAGCAGATCAATAAAAGAGCAATTCTGATTTCTTACTACAAGTTACCATATTTTGCCTCACTGAATAGGCCCTGATATAGCTGATCAGAACACAAATAGAAAAAAGGGTCCACATCAAGTTTATCTCTCTAATGTATTCAGTTTACGGCTTTACCATTAGGCATTAAAAAAGAAAAATATGCAATGGGGGGGGGGGGGGGGGGGGGGGGGCAACACATGTACATGCTTTGTCTGTTTATGTCATTTGCAGCCTAAAACAGCATTAATTAAATATTTTTTTGATTACAAAGGCAAATGCTTTTACATTACCACAAGATATACACAAGTATGAGTCAAAGAAGGTGCATGCTTTATACAGTAGTACTATGCACGTTAGCAAAGTTATAAAGAATTCTTGTAACTTGAGGTTATCTATAAAAACATGCCCCAATGGTATATACTGTTATGGGAATGGAGATCAACAATGGTTACATTTTAAAATGCTAATTAAAAAAGGCACATTATTATAGTTCTGAGCATTTTAAACAACACTAGGGATGCTATACCTCTCAGCTGGTTTGCCTAAAGCTAACCGCATATATAAAAATGTGATGTAACATGCAGCAATGAGCCAAATGAGAAAGTCTTTTCATAAACATGCACGCTCAGATTGGCATATCCTGTATGTTTATGCCTTTTAAAGATGGGGCTTGAATAAGTGAAGATCACCTTATATCTGTAGGCAACTTAAGGCAGTCATGAAAATGCTCCTGGGAATAAGCGAACAAAAAGGCACAGTCTGTGCGAAAACTTTCATGAGCAAGTTTCTTAAATCATATTTTTGCTAACTGATCAACTTCAAATAAAAGACACCCCCCTTCCATTTTAGAGATGGGACAACTGATTTAGAATATTGATAAACTTCAAAATAAAAGGTTACATTTCATCAGAATCAAGTCATACTATTTTTGCTGTATAAATATGTCTTTCATTAAAGACTTAAAATTATTATTGTCAAAGCACTACCACAAATCCAATTTAGTCATTTCATATTGGTATTGTGAAGAACTAAGGTCATCGAGGACAGTATTTGAAGAACTAACCTGAATATTCAACTTTACAGCAGTGTCCCAGCAAATCTGAAGATAGTGACAAAAGCACGACCCATCATCATAGCTTTTCTGACCAGTTCTGAAATTTGCTCCAAAATGTAAGTTAACCGTTTGACCTCTGGAAGGTTTTACCCCCTTCATGACCAGGGAATTTTTGGCTATTTAGCACTGCACTACTTTAATTGGCAATGGTCAAGATTTTCTACTTTGTTATATAATAGGCAAAAACCGGAAAAAACAAACTTTTTTCATAAATTTAGTCCGAAATGTATTCTGCTACGTCTTTGGTTAAAATAAAAATACCAATAAGTGTATATTAACTGGTGTATGTGAAAGTTATAGCGCCTAAAAACTATGCTATATACTGGAATTTAAGCAGCTATAGACGCAATACTTGTAATGTCGGTAATCAGCAACTTATAGCGTGACTGCGATAGTGTGGCAATCAACGCTAACAGAAATTGCCTACGAGACACTGTCACCAACGTCGCCAGTGGCACTAGTACAGTGATCAGATATAATATTGTACACTGTACTAATGACACTTGCTAAGAAGGGATTAACATCAAAGGGGATAACTGTGTGC